TCAGAAGGTCCTCAATGCCTTTACTCCAAATGCCACGCCACCTCAAAGGTAATTAATAAATTCCATATTTTCTAGTACTGTCTAGAACTCACACTAGATAAATATAATATACTCAAAAAACACTTCATTATGAATTTTTCACTGAACATTTTACAAATCCGCGGTAGTGTTTCACTATTTAATGGCTTCTTCAGGCATGCTCTTACTCATATGTAAGCTTTCAAGGGAAATTATCATAATGAAGTGTTATTTACATATGTTATGCTGAATCATTACATAAATGTCAGATGTCTATACTTGCCATTTGGTCATCAATACAAAAGAAATTTTGAAAATAGAACTTTCACAGGTGTCTACATTCGAACATGATTTTTCAGACGAGTCTAAGTTTTAAATATATATCGTTTGGAAAATTCAGTGTCATCAATAATATCTACATCCCTTCCAAAAAACAATTTACCGACGCCTATGGAATGTGAAGTGTTCAATAAATACAAAATACTTATATTATTTATTATGGTGCTATAACGCAATTATAGAATACAGCTGAAATAATATTAGGCCTTCAATTGTGTACAAACAAAAATATTAATATTTGATTATTCGAGGAATAACCTTTGTCTCTGGTTGGATAGTCTCAAAACGTACAATTTCGAACAAACGTCACATTTGAGTTCTGAGTTCTCTCTCTTTCAAACAGTGACTGTTGGTGACATTTCCTTACATTACACATTATATCATCTACACTGTATGAAAAAAATGCGTTATTTTTACATATTTATAACGAGGTTACGAAACTTCCTGTGGGTAGGTATTGTGAGTGTATAAAAATTACTATTAATAAGAGATTGTATTGAAGCAATGGCAAGTAAATGTCATTCAACAACAAAACCAAATTTGGAGCGTCGCTAATTTTAATAAATTTCATTTCATCAGTGATACTATCAAATTTAAATTGATCTTACCGTCGCGATTGAATGCCATTTTGTTAGGTTAGGTACAGTTTTGAGCATACCAGTTCACTAATCATACACAGTTATTTTGGTACAACTGCCAGCTCATGAAAATGGAGTGTTTTGTAGACCTGAAAGGGAGACTCGAGACTATGCAGAAAAATGATAACGTGATAATTGTGGATAATGTTCGTACGTTAAAAGTCGATGAAGTAAGTACTGCAGGTCTGTACTCGGCGATTTACTACTCACTGAAAAAATATCTAATGAGTAAACTATTTAAATACTGCGAACATAGCTCAGTAAACGGTACTGGATGATTACGACTATTACGAGTAAGTCTGAACTGCTGTATACAGATGATTTATTATGAATTGATTTTCAAATTATGGAGAATCGAATGTTATCGTCATGAAACTGATATTACTGCATTAAACTCTTTTGGTGGTATAACGATTGAAAGGAAGAGGGAGTACACCCTTCTGAATTGTTCTCGAATTTGTCATATTTGCCATCTTTACCTTAAAGAACAATCCTCAGTAAGAACAGAGAACATATTTTCTTACAAAAAAGATCTTTCAATTGTCCGATGGTGTCGATATACTTATAGGTGTGATGTGATACCCTCTATATAGAACTGAAATATTTTCAAAGCGAAGTAATTTTTCAATATGCCAGACCAAATTATAGGACGTCAACTATGACCTTTCATACATGTACTGTTACGACTCCAATACTGAAATCCAAAGGAGTAAACAATTAATATTAAATCCAGGTGAAGATGAACAACAATTTCATATCTAACAAATTCATCTCAAAGGTCAAATTTCGATCCCAACTCTATAACTATGGATCGCACATCGTTGGTGATCCTTACCCCGTTTCGACTTTTGAGGTTAAGTGTTCGTATGGGGGCGACAGCTGATGGTTAACATTAACTTTTTATTCTGATTAATACTGAGTTCCTTTTGGTGGTTCTGTTGTAAACTATCAACTCCTCTTTCGATTTTCATTTCATTCTCAATTATGCACGATCCGTCCAGAACCATCTTCAGATTAAATAAACATAGATCAATGAAAAATTGAAATAATTGACATGTTGTCCCCATATACTTTGCACACAAACACGCACAAAGATAAATCAGTTTAGCATTTTCAGCAAAAGTATCCAGCAATGTCTTATAGATTTCGAAACAAGTAGGTAATAGGTATTATCTTGAAACTGAAGTACCTACTTAGATGAAACTAAAATAGATTGTCAAGTCACCGATCAAATATGGTGGACAATAAGTGGATATCTTTGGAAAATCTTTCACGTTATGTGGGTTCTCCTCTGTATATCTTCGAATTTCAATTTGATTCACATCTAAAATTTGGTATCCTTACAACCCATATTCAGCAAAACACAAAAATATCTTAAGACACTAATATTGATTTAGTTTAAATTGTGTCTACGTCAACAGAAGTTAAATTAAAGTTGTGCATCATTAGGTTAATTTTAATACTGTCTATATTTATCTCATGAATTTTTCTAAATTTTTTGACTTTCTTAAATTGACCAATTTTAGGTACTTTTTGACATAGTGCTGTCATTACTACATTATTATCATGAACAATTATGATGTAGGTAGTTTACTGGAAAAAACAATTTTGAGAATATTGAACCTTTTGTATAGAAAATAATGAAAAAGCAAGTGGATAAAGGTCCGCAACATGTGAAAGTTATGAGAAAGTGTCATTTTACGATAAAAATAAGTTTCTGAAGAAGACAAGTTCTCAACTTCAGAATCGTGATCGGAGGCCAAAAATTCGACTAATGCAAAAATTTGTTTACAAACAATCGCGTGTTGAAACGAATAGTTCCCGAAATCTCAAATGATGCGGATTTCACCGGCGACACTGTTTATTAATAATATCATTCAATTGCAAGCTCTTCTGAAGCCTCGCCTGAAAATCTCGACAACGAAAAACTTCCGGTACTAATGCCCATGTCTAAAAAAGACCATGCTGTTGCCATTAACCATAAAAATCAGATCAATCATACGTACTTGACCTCGAGCAACCAAGAAAGCACAAAACCGATGAAAACAAAACTGGATCTCGGGCTGTTACAACTTTTCCGCAAGAGAGTACCAGTGTAGCTCAGCACTAAAGAGTACCGTTTCAGAAAGTACTTTTGCGATCTACTTCGCCCGGAACTACCGGAATTTCTTGTATGTCAACGATCGATCCGAACCTGCGGCAATGCGGCAGTACCGTGGCGAGGTACTATCACGAGTGAAAATCCGGACTGGAAGGTTATTTATTTTAACACAAATTAATACCGTAGTTTGACCGCTCGGAACTACTATAGCCTGAGCCAGGTGGGGTTTTTCTTGGAAAAATATAACTCGCACTCATATTTTGACACTCACATGATAAATGATAGTAGTGATATTTTGCATCAAATATCTTCGAAGAATCCACAATATTTTTTCATATTCGCGTTAGCCTGAACTACTTTTTAAAGGACTTGTTTGTAAATAATGCATTTTACTGGTGTAGACATTGTTGAAAGTTCATTTGCCTATTCAATCAATGAATCAATCAATCAATTTATTCAATTCACATACATATTTTTCTCTATAATAGATGTTAGCATATAAAAATGTATAATGAAAAAAAATAGAAAGCAATGATCAACCTGAAGAAGTTTTGAACCAGACAATAAGGCGAAGAGGAGGCAGATGTGAGATAAATAAAAAAAATCAGACATTCAGTGAGTTGATTCAAATATTTCTTCTAAGAAATCAAAGTTGTGATCAATGAAGGATCTAATTGTTTTCTTGCGTTCATTAATTATATTTCTTAGTTCAATCGGAACTTAATTGACAAGTTTCGGTCCGAAGTAAGTAACAAACCTTTGGGTATATATACGTTCTTACAAAAAGGAACACTAATTGTTCTCTCGGATTTGGCTCTGGTTTCGTGTATGTGTGTCAGATTGCTTGAGAAATTTCACCTGTGCAATCTTTTGAAGATGATACGATANTTTCTTCACCAACCATATTATGAAGGTGTCGTCAACATATCTCAACCAGACTCGAGGTTTCTTGTGGGCTTCTTCGATGGCCAGAGTTTAAAACCACTCCATATATATGTTGGCAATGACTAGTGAAAGTGGCGATCCCATTGGCAGTCCCTGATCTTGTATAAAGAATTCGTCCTTCAATTCGAAATAACAGTTTCGTACACAGCATCCTAATGATTCCATAATCACTTCTATAGGTAGATTCGTTCTATCTCTCAGGTTCCCGTCTTCGGATAGCTTCCCTCTGTATGATTTGGAGTGCTTTATTGGCTTTCTACTTCTCTATCTTCATACAAATTTGGGAAACCTCCGAAGAGACTAAGAAAGCAGCCTCTGCACAAATGTGTAGATCGTGCAAAGATGTTTCTTTTAAGTACAAACTGAGAAAAAATAACTTTTCAAACAACTACTTTGTACGAAACAACTACAGTTTGTACTCCACACGTCCTTATTAGCGAAGGATTGGCTTGAAAAGATGGTAGTCGGTTGGTGAGAGGTCTAGGAAGTATGGTGGGTGAAGCAGAACTTTGACGCTCAGTTCGTTCAATTTTTGACTGAATGACACGTGTGGACGGGTTTTGTCGTGGAACAGGGTTGAACCTCTTCTAATGATCAGTACCGGCTACTACCGACGCAATTTTTGGTACATTCCGTCAATTTTTGCACAATAGTACTCTGCTGTGACGGTTTGGCCCAGTTGCAGAAATTTATAGTGAATCACACCAGTTGCTGATCACCACACAGTAGCCATGGTATTTTTTGGTGGGTTTTCGCCTTTGGGAAGTGCCTGGGTGGCTTATCGGTGCCTCAGCATTTGCATCAACATCAATGTTCTCTATCGATCAGTATATACCAAGATATAATAGAATAAATATCTATTGAAATAGGGAACTACAAAAACACATGATATTAAAATAGACAAAACAAGATTTCCAATGTTGATTCCTGATAAAAACTGTTTGGCCACGATGATAATNAGAACCATCGTTTCGAAGGGCCACACCGCCCAGTAAGGCACCACTACTAACCACTCGTCGTTTTGGTACACGATCCTTTCTTTCTTCTCCAGTTCCCTCTCGACATAATCCATCAGCATAGGTCGCTTGTACTTCTCGTAGTACTCCCTCAAGTTCACATCTTTGATCCTTGCCTCGTTCGGTAGGAACGTTGAAGCCCAAATTTGGCAATGTGGATGGGGGTTGGAGCAGCCCATCATGGCTCCTCTGTTTTCGAAAATTTGAACCCAATTGTACTTCTTTCCCAGATCGCTCAGCTGGTTGATCCATTCCTCGATAACCGCCACAACTTCTTTAACCGATAGGTCGGTGAGGTACACATTTGAATGCGGGTGATAGCAAATCACCCTGCAAGTTCCTTTGGCAGAATTGGTTTGAAACAAGGGATCGCTACTTTCTTCTGGTTCCGGTCCTTCTTCCAGAAGAGCAGGAAAGTCGTTCGTGAACACGTATGTGGACTCGTAGTTGGGAGTCACTTTTCCAGAGGCTCTTGTGACTCCTGGACATAAAGGGTTTGTGGGGTCGAATTGTGGTACGATTTCTACGGATGGTGTTTCCACTTGCCCGCTCCATGGACGAAGAGATCTGTGGGGGGATACCAGAATCCATTCTGCTTTCAGAGGGTTGTATCGTAGATGTTGATGTTCTGAAAATTATTATTATCACTTGTAACCGTAAAATTCCGTATCTTATATGAGAATTGAGAGTCGCATAGTATACAGTATAAAGTCAACTCGAGGTAAAGCCAAGTTGGTTGTTAAACGCGAGTTTAGAAGACTGTTACAGTCCTGATATGTGGAAACACTGTTTGTGTTGTGGCTAAGTTAGTTTTAAGACATATGCACCTAAAGATGAACTTTTGATGATGACGGAGGTTGGTTTGAAAAATTTATTTTTTCCTAAAAAGTGAATTATATTGGGCGTAGAGTGAGCAAACAAAAATGTTTTATTGATAAAACCATCGATATTAAGAAGTTATTTGTACTTCATATAAGTGTTAGGAAAACTTGTGAGTAACTGAATGCATGACTCAAAAATTATACATTTGAACTTGACACTATGCGCCCATTTCGAGAAAAAACCTAATCTTTGTATAATGTGAAAAGTAGAGGCACTTATTGAGTTCACTGATTAGTAGATGAGTACTATTTATCTTAGATAGATAATATAATATAAAGACTCGAGACTATGCAGAAAAATGATAACGTGATAATTGTGGATAATGTTCGTACGTTAAAAGTCGATGAAGTAAGTACTGCAGGTCTGTACTCGGCGATTTACTACTCACTGAAAAAATATCTAATGAGTAAACTATTTAAATACTGCGAACATAGCTCAGTAAACGGTACTGGATGATTACGACTATTACGAGTAAGTCTGAACTGCTGTATACAGATGATTTATTATGAATTGATTTTCAAATTATGGAGAATCGAATGTTATCGTCATGAAACTGATATTACTGCATTAAACTCTTTTGGTGGTATAACGATTGAAAGGAAGAGGGAGTACACCCTTCTGAATTGTTCTCGAATTTGTCATATTTGCCATCTTTACCTTAAAGAACAATCCTCAGTAAGAACAGAGAACATATTTTCTTACAAAAAAGATCTTTCAATTGTCCGATGGTGTCGATATACTTATAGGTGTGATGTGATACCCTCTATATAGAACTGAAATATTTTCAAAGCGAAGTAATTTTTCAATATGCCAGACCAAATTATAGGACGTCAACTATGACCTTTCATACATGTACTGTTACGACTCCAATACTGAAATCCAAAGGAGTAAACAATTAATATTAAATCCAGGTGAAGATGAACAACAATTTCATATCTAACAAATTCATCTCAAAGGTCAAATTTCGATCCCAACTCTATAACTATGGATCGCACATCGTTGGTGATCCTTACCCCGTTTCGACTTTTGAGGTTAAGTGTTCGTATGGGGGCGACAGCTGATGGTTAACATTAACTTTTTATTCTGATTAATACTGAGTTCCTTTTGGTGGTTCTGTTGTAAACTATCAACTCCTCTTTCGATTTTCATTTCATTCTCAATTATGCACGATCCGTCCAGAACCATCTTCAGATTAAATAAACATAGATCAATGAAAAATTGAAATAATTGACATGTTGTCCCCATATACTTTGCACACAAACACGCACAAAGATAAATCAGTTTAGCATTTTCAGCAAAAGTATCCAGCAATGTCTTATAGATTTCGAAACAAGTAGGTAATAGGTATTATCTTGAAACTGAAGTACCTACTTAGATGAAACTAAAATAGATTGTCAAGTCACCGATCAAATATGGTGGACAATAAGTGGATATCTTTGGAAAATCTTTCACGTTATGTGGGTTCTCCTCTGTATATCTTCGAATTTCAATTTGATTCACATCTAAAATTTGGTATCCTTACAACCCATATTCAGCAAAACACAAAAATATCTTAAGACACTAATATTGATTTAGTTTATACTTTTAGTGACATCTTTCAGCAATTATAATAAAATATTCGCTAAGCGCCATCTATGTTTGAGTAGCTTAGTTGCTAAAGGTGGAAAAATTCCAGTTGATGAACACTTTGTATATAGACTTCTATATATAAAGATGAACATGTAAATATAACTACTGATAATCAAAGATAGGTGGCCTCTTTCTCAATATTACGCAAATCTTAGTAATCTGGATTCTATGAACATGTGTCATAAGAGCAAAAACTGTATAATGTATTTGACAGTTCTTTCCTGGAAATTTTCAACTACTAAATTTCATCACTCTCTCTACTAACACACTATTGAAACAGAGAAAGAGAGTGGCACGTCCGCCAGTGTTGACAAAAAAGAATTTAACCACTTTGACTCGTTTGACCTCAAAACGTCCTTCGTGAAATCGAACAGAGCAGAAAGTCACGGCGAGGCAGTGAGCAACCCTCAACAGAGATCTTGAACAAAATTATTGCAGTTTCTCGAACATTGGTGAGTGTTTCATCTTCAGTGAATTGTAAAATAAAGTCAATGAAAAGCTGTTTCATTAAACAATGCAATCGTGAAAAATGCATTGTCAGTATTCATTTTAATATTGTGTGTAGAATTGTATATGAGATTTTATATTTGCATGAGATCTGTACTGATTTAACTCAAGTGGAATGAATAATTGAAATATGCCAATGACAGTATTGAAGTTTTCAGTGAATTATTCCGGTTGATTAGGCCGAAAAAGCAAAATTTTTTCTCTGTATACTTACGTATTCACGTACAACTTATATTCACTTAATTATAGTATATTTTTTTGTTATGCTTTTCTATTTATTGTGTGTCCCCATTTTCTCATTTTTTGGAATAGAACCTAGTTAGGGATAAATCTTGGGGTATACGTACCTACCACTCCTATCAGATAACCTGTTTGCTACAGGATATCATAAATATAGACTATAGACTATAATATACAGTATTTCTTGTACAACAAATTAATGAGTGAGACAATTTTGGACCTTTTTTACTTTAGGGATTGTTCAACGAACGATTTTTCTGAAATATGATTCTCGCACACATCCTCAAAAATATCTATGATCGATGCACAATCTGAAGATCCTTTTGAAATATGTGATGGAATCCTCCAATCTCCACATCTTTGTAAACACTTTATTTTGAAAATTTTTGCTTACTTCCTTTGGAAGATTCCCACATTTTTTGTATGAAGATGGAAAAATAGAAAGCCAAAACTTTCCTTTGCCAGGTATTTTAAGCTTGTTCCATTGGATTGATATCCATATCTCTCAAATTGCATTTCTCAATATATTTGGTACTTTGTTCCAATTTATCAGATAAAAATATTTTTTATAAACTAATCGTCAGATAAATTATCAAATTAATTTAAATTGAAAATGATTATCGGTTCACAGGTCAATACAAGATCAGGCTTGATTTGTCACTTGAATGATTTTGGAACTTCCAAGCTTCATTATTTTACTGCTTTCTTAATCTAGTCTGAATTTTCCGATAGAATCTGGAATCAAACAGTTCAATTGAGCGGTAGTGCGCCCTATTCACGATCGAGAGCCTGCGGATGTGATCCGTAATGCTAGTTTCAGTAACTCTTTAATTCGAGTGTATCTGTCACAATTGGCGATGATACAGAGTACCTTGTTCTGCATCCTTTCGAGTCTCTAAAATGGAGTCTTCTTGAGGCTGCAAAACACTGAGCTGTCTATATTATTGCTGGTCTTTTCGGTAACTTATTCTCCATGATAATATTTAGAGTTTCTAGCTGTCTGAGTGTAGGTTCTCTTAACCGCTGGACCCGTCCTCGGTATAGCCAGGCTCATATGTTTATTCAAATTCATTCGCCTGTCCAGCATTACTATCAGTTATCTCGCGGACTCCTGCTCCTCCACCCTTTTGTCACCCACTCGTAGTCTTTCGAAGATCTTCACATTAGTGACTTTCGTTCGCAATTTCACGAGTTTCGCCTTATACGTGTTGAGGGATATCCTATTCCTCTCCAGATACGGAATGATGTTCCTATCCAGGTGAGTCTGGATCTGCTTATTTGCAACCTCCCTCGAGAACTAGTAGGCATATACCAGTAAAGCGGTATTACCCGCATGGCTAAATTCGTTCTCTCAAACATGCCCCTGCCTCTATTGGGTGCTCTCCGGATCCAGCCCCATTTACTCTAACCTGAATACTCCTGTCAGTTCGTTATGAATCTACGATGTTTACCATGTGTGGTGGCATGCCTACCACCAACAGCTTGGTGATCAATTCATCTATCCAAACCTTGTCGAATGCTTTCAACAACACCATGACTGTATTATTCATCTTGTGGAAGGACTCCTTCATCTCGTGGACAATGCGGACCATCTGGGAGTTGGTGTTCCTTCCTGGACCAAGGCCTTACGCGGTAGAACCTTGAGTAGAACTACATCGACCTTGTTCTTCGGGAGTATTTTTTTTTACTGTCAGTTTGTCGGGGTTCGTTAGCAGTCGAGCGAGTTCATCCTCCTCGACCGATGTTGAATCCGTCCGTCTGTCTTTCTGCGTCGTCTCGTAAGGTCTTTTGTTCGTCAGACAAGTCTTGGTCGAGCATATAACGCTCCACCTATGCTCCCCGAACATTTCCACTTTCTCCTGGTCTGTCATGCCCATTAAATTATCCTTCTCCACGGTGGAGATTTCCTGGAACCTGTCATTCAGGACCTTAGTCATCCTCCACAAAGAATTGTCCTGTACATTGAGGTTGACAGTTATCTCGCGGACTCCTGCTCCTCCACCCTTTTGTCACCCACTCGTAGTCTTTCGAAGATCTTCACATTAGTGACTTTCTTTCGAAATTTCACGAGTTTCGCATTATACGTGTTGAGGGATATCCTATTCCTCTCCAGATACGGAATGATGTTCCTATCCAGGTGAGTCTGGATCTGCTTATTTGCAACCTCGCTCGGGAACTACTGGGCATATACGAGTATAGCGGTATCACCTTCATGGCTAAATTCGTTCTCTCAAACATGCCCCTGCCTCTATTGGGTGCTCTCCGGATCCATCCCCATTTACCCTAACATGAGTAACCCTGCCAGTTCGTTATTAATCTACGATGTTTACCATGTGTGGTGGCATGCCTATCACCAACAGCTTGGTGATCAATTCATCTATCCAAACCTTGTTGAATGCTTTCTCCATGTCCAACAGCACCATGACTGTATTATTCATCTTGTGGAAGGACTCCTTCATCTCGTGGACAATGAGGACCATCTGGGAGTTGGTGTTCCCTCTTTATTTTTGAACCCGAATTGTTCCTCCGGGATAATTTCCATCCCTTCCTCAAGGAGAATGAATCTCTTGAGGTCAATTTTATCAACAGTCTTGGCGACCGCGCTCAGGAGTGAGATAGGCCTGTAGCTGTTCAGATACGTACGACTTTTGCCCGCTTTTGATATAGGCACCATCACCGTTTTTTTCATACAAGCCAGATTGTGTTGCCATTTTATGATTGCATTTATTATGTATATAAACTGAACCAAGGCCTTACGCGGCATATTCTTGAGTAGAACTGCATCGACCTTGTCCAGACCAGGGGCTTTGTTCTTCGGGAGTCTTTTTATTTATGTCAGTTTGTCGGGGTTCGTTAGCAGTCGAGCGACTTCATCCTCCTCGACCGATATCGAATCCGTCCGTCTGTCTTTCTACGTCGTCTCGTAAGGTCTTTTGTTCGTCAGACAAGTCTTGGTCGAGCATATAACGCTCCGCCAATGCTCCCCGAACATTTCCACTTTCTCCTGGTCTGTCATGACCTTTAAATTATCCTTCTCCACGGTGGAGATTTCCTGGAACCTGTCATTCAGGACCTTAGTCATCCTCCACAAAGAATTGTCCTGTACATTGAGGTTGGAAAGTTTATCGTTCCACCTCCTATTGGTGAACCCCTCAATATGAGGAGCTTTGACCTCAACTGCAATTCGGGGCATCGTCTTCTTGCACCTGGAGTCCCGTGTATTCTGCCAGTGCTTCCTGGCCCGGTTCTTCATCCTGATGAGTTTCTCGACATGAGGCGGAAGGATAACCTTTCCCTCTTTTACCACCAGCGTCCTGGTGGATAAATACCTGGAAATGTGTATGTTTCGAACAAAGAGGGAGGTTTCATCGTCTATTCTGTCTTTTGTAATGTTTCCGTTTGTGTGTTATCTGTTCAATTGGTGGCCTTGTAATCGAAGGCTGTCCTCATCCTTTTAGTGTTCAAACAAGACCAGGCAATGATCTGAGTTTATTTCTGACAGTACTTTTAGTGCGCCCATATATCGTGGTAGACGTGCCTCCGTTGAAGGGGTGAAATTTTGGTTCCTCCGGAAAGTCGATATTAAATTTATCGTCTAGGGAGCATTCCCAGAGCGTCCGGCATGCTCTATACCGCTGCGCTGTCTAGGTATCTGCGTGAACGGAATACCCGTAGTGATCAGAACAGCCACACTCCCGCTAGCATCCTGAGCCCGATCTTTCCTGACTAGGATAAAACCCCTGAGTTTGAGTCTATGCTCCTGTCGAAGTTTGGTTTCGGATAGAACCATTATATCTACCTTATGCTTGTCAATAAAATTAATAAGCGTTAGTGGAAGAGAATATTAACCTCTTCGTTTATTTTCGATATTGAGTTTAAGAAGATTGTCGTTTAACCATTTTTCAGCTTGGCTATCGGCAAGTTTTGCGATTCCATTAAATGTTTGCAATTTTTATCTGGACATCGGCATAAACGACACATTTATGGACCAGAACTTGGAAGAAAAGGACATCAATACAAATTATGAGTAGGAGAGGTCCTAGCACAGATCCTTGCGGAACACCGTTAACTATAGGCTCTAAATTAGACGTCTTGTTGTCTCTTAGATCGATATATTGCTTTCGATTTCGTTTTTTGTCGAAATGGAAATCTAACCTGCTTCTGATAATTATTTCGAAAAGTTTTTTTCAATTAGAATTGAAATATATATCCTTCGGTGGAAAATTTGGCTTAGTGACTGAGATGGAGTCGATATAAAACTGAAGTAAAAATGTTTGTACTCCGTAACTTTAATATCCTGAATCCAAATATTTGGCCAGTTTACATTTTCGAAAGTGATTGTTGTTTCACAATGACACTTGGTAGGTATATTTAATACGGTTACTTTATTCCTTAAAAACTCTAGTAAGCTTTTGAATAACACTATCAAAGATAAGCGTTTATCAGTTATTTATACAACTGAATTCGAAACGTGTTGTTGTTCTCAGTTCTCAGAATAAGACAGTGTCAACCAATAACTTTTTCATTGCCTCGCCTACCTTATCCCTGTATTTCAATTGGTCTGGTCGGTGAACGAGCCCCCTACTACGTCACGATTCCAAAGTGCATAGTTTCATAATTCTGATGCAATAAAAAGCGTGTTTACTGTTTCGAGTCTAACAGTTCTCCGTCCTTTCTCTAGTAGGTGTGTCTGTCCATACGTCAGGTATGAATTTTTTTTTTGTTTGAATTGAGATTGGTGTTTAACAAAATAATAATATTTTTTGTCAATTCCGAATAATAAATGTTTCTCTCGTTTTACTTATTATGTAAATACCTGTCATTGAATATTATACGAACATTTGCCTATTTTGAAAGTTTTCAACTCAGAACATGAAGATTTTGTTCACGTTCATGTTTTGAAAAGTCTGCGTTTACGAAATAGCTGTTTACTTAGAAGATATATTTTTCAGTAATGTTGAGAACACTGTAAATATATGAAACAGTTGCAGTTGGAATTGATTTAACTAATTTTGAATGAGTAAAAACAACATTTATGTACCTACGTGATAAAATGTACATTGTTTATCATTCTTAATCATAAAACACAAAATTCTTCTTTCGGAAAAACGATCTTGACCTACCGCTATGCATAAATACCACGAAAAGAACTACCAGTTGTATGGCTTAATATTTTAACCTCAAATTTCTGGTTGCTGTCTCATGTTCCGCATATTGGAGCCAAATCGTAACTTTTAAAATACTCTATCAGTGTTAGCATTTCAATACTGCACTATTAGTGTATTATTTCCAAAATAAAGCAATATAGATATTCGTCTTCTTATAACCTTGAAATACAGGGACGAAATTTTTAATTAAATCCTCTTTATCTGATCAAATGGAAAATTAAAATTGACGGATATAGAAATTATGGAATATAAAATATGTTTTTACAAAATAAATAATAAAGTGCTGAAGAATACAGGAATTTTATGAAATTGAGCCAAATCGTAACTTTTGAAATACTACTCTATCAGTGTTAGCATTTCAATACTGCACTATTAGTGTATTATTTCCAAAATAAAGCAATATAGGTATTCCTCTTCTGTGACGTTTGTACAAGTTACTTTTGAAAGTTATCGTCAACTGAAAATCATGGATTTAATACTAGTAGCGCTATCTGTGTGTTAGCCTTCGAACTTTTCAGCTCATCTAGTATACTTGTCAAATCATCAGCATATAATGGAAGTTTAACTGGGCCTAGAACAGACCCTTGTGGGACGCCAGATCTAATTGCTCACTGAGTTATTAATATTCTTCGAAATATTCCAGGATTTTAATTGATTTTGATTTGTTTTAGTTTACCATCAATAAGCAACATGACCACTCACTGGAACTACCCCGAACCAGCTCTTCAAGATGAGCTCAGGAAAATCGCCAACGCCATCGTAGCAAATGGAAAGGGTATCCTTGCTGCCGATGAGTCCGTTTCCACCATGGGCAAACGCCTTGCCGACATCGGATTGGAAAATACAGAAGAAAATCGTCGTAAATACAGGTAAGTAAAAGTTTGTCTGTTAAGGGATTCATGAAATGACTATCAACTCATAATATTGAAACTAATTAATACAGTTTATTGTATGATTGTCACTATAAAGGGTTTTACAAAAACCGCGACACGTGTTTCATTATACAGTTTTGCATTGTTATACGTTTCGGCTTCGACTTTGAAGCCTTTTCAAGAAATAGAGTAGTGTGGCTGTACTGAGAGACACACTTTAGGGTTTTGATGTAGTTTTACGACGTCATATAGTAAAAAGCTTAAAAGAGGAAAAACATTAAAATTTGGAAAAAAGTTAACAGCATGTTGCATAGAGTACAAAATTCTGTATCGATCAGTATATACCACGACACAGCAGAATAAATATATTAGTCAAACTGGTAGAACATTTAGGAATCGAATCCAGGAACATCATATGAGCTATGTAACAAATTCAACATATTCAAATCATCTTCTAGAAGAAAATCATATCTTTAATGAAGAGTTCGAAATTTTGCACATAGAAAATAAAGATTTGAAACTGAATCATTTGGAAGCAATGGAAATTAATATACTTAAAAATTCAAACATTCTAATGATTGACCAACTGGATTTGAATAGATCACCATTATTGAGCTCGTTTTCCTAAGAACACCTCAACAACAACAGAATTCTTAAATTTGTCATCTTTACATAAATTCAAATTATACATCTTCATTCATTTGGTCAAAAATAAGCTCAAACATTGAAATCTGACTTTCAAAGTTGACAGTGTTCAACTCAAACAGTATATTCAATCATCTATTTCTTTTTAGTTTCAGTTCGGATTTATCTTTTTTTTTGTTGTTTTCTCCGTACTTAAATTTGTAATAGTTATTGGAAATATTGTTTTTTCCCTATTACATACATGTATGTTCTTTAGAAAAATAAGTCGTTATTGACTCTTATTATTATACAGGGTTATTCACGAGGATCTCGTGAACGGTGAAAAATGGAGAGTAGGTTGGTAAGAACGGAAAATTTCGAAATTTTATATTTGCTGCATCTTCATTTGAACAAATATTGAAAATCTGTTGTTACTTTGCGTTAGCAATTTTTTTGAACTATCAGGATATGATAGTAAAATGTTTATAAGGCGTGACGTTCCACTTGGGACAGGCACTCTGAACTTTGAAATTTTGAATACCGACTTTGTTGATCATGAATGTTTATATCATATCCGAAAATGTTTTTTTTTCGAGGTTCCCAAGAGTTTTAGTAAATAATGGTGAATATTTTACTCTCAACCATAGTGTCTAGGTTAAAAGTAATAGCAGGATTAAACAGATAGCAATCGGATAATCTGTGTGGACACATGAAAATTCTGGATCCAATTCCACCATGTCAAAAACTCAAAACGCAGTTTTTATTGTTCATAAATGATCAAATTTGAATATTGATACATTGTTATGTTTCAATAGTACAAAGATGGATGCAGGACCAGAACTAAACCTTTCATAATCATAACCACTGCCTGTCAAGCCGCGGTGAAGCCAAAATTATAAGTATGGCATATAACAATATCTTGACCTATCGAAAATGTTATTTAAAAAATCTCTTAATTATTGGTATCATCGAGATTGTACTACCGATAGTTTGTTTCATGTTTGAATTAATGAAATGTCCTTTTTTTGTTATTAAGCAAGTATAATTCCCTTATCTCTAATGGGTTTGATATTAAATCCTCACGTAAATAATTCAAGGCTAAAGGTTGGTACTATTTATAGAAATTTGATTGATTGTTCGGTGTCGAACATGGTAACCTCTGATATGATTTTATATTATTTATATATAGCTATGGAATACTTGAATACTTCGGGAATTTGATAGTGCCTATATTTTTATTGGAAGTACAACTGATGAACAAGAGGGAAATACCCAAATCATTCATATTACTATTTTTAAAATAAAATTGAATCTAATTCGTCCATTGGATCAGCTGTGCTATCAAATAGATTAGTTTTGTCGAGATTAACAGTCATCATTTGTTTACCAAAAAAAGAGTTTAATGGGCCGCGATTTGTATTTCTCTAGATAACACAGCATAAAATGAGCTTGGAGATAGTCTTAATGAAACAAACACAAACATGGAAAATTCTCGTCGCTGTTTAAAAAGAAAACGTAGATTGGTTCAAGCAGTAATTGATTTTTGTAGTCAATGACAAATATAAAAAAATATTGCGTACAAGAATTCTAGGCTAGGATTGGTAATAAAGAAATGAAAATCTATATATTTACTTTCATACTGTTCTACCATCTAATTTTTTTACAATTCATATTCATTTATTTCCTTTCAAAAATTTATGCAAGTAAAAATATTTGTCTTGAATATTCTAAGTGAAAAAATTAGTAAAAACATCTGTAAACTGAGTTTATGTCAAAATTTACAATATCTCTCCAATATTATATGCAAGATTATATGTCTGTATAGGTGAGGATTTCAGATAATGTTTCACTTGTTTTGTAAGCTCTCATAGGTGTTTTATTTTTTGTGACATGTACAATAGTTTCAATTGATGATTAACTTTGACCAATATTTTTTTTAATTCTCTTTCAAATATCTGATTGGAATTTATTGAATTTTAGAGGTTAGAAGAACCAAGTTGTGTGATATAGAGGTCGCTGAATATATGGCATTATGTTCTGGGGAATGTCTGCACATACACAAAAAATATTCATATTGCAAAAACGGTGTCTCAGAAATCAACCTTTCTCAGAGAGAAAGCTGTAAAAAATATTCATAGAGAAACAAATATCAACACTAACAGTTCTCTATATTTATGAATCTGTTGTATTTGTCAAAGAAAATATGTCTCTTTTTGCGACTCATGATATGATCCATACCCACAATACACGAAACCAAAATAACCTTTTGAATATAAAGACACATTTAACCCATCTTCAAAATAATATACCTTTTTCAATCATTACTATTTAGTACAAGATACCTGAATCTCTCAGAACTTTGTCTTCTATGATCATGAAGAATAAATTGAAAACATCACTTCTCTCCAAAGCGTATTATTCACTGGAAGAATTCTTCAATGATAATTTAAACTGATGTTGTTCGTGTTGAATTTTTCATGTCGTATCATTCTGCATTGTGATCTAGTTTAGTCTCTTTTGAACCCTACATATAGATGTATATGTATGTGTTCTGTATCTAATATAACAATATTACATTAAGTATATTGACTGTGATAACCTTGTTATTTATACATATGTGGCCATTTATATTCTTAACCAATATTAATGATATTGCCTCACGATTTTCTACTACTTCTGTAATGTTTACTGTAATTGACATGTTCTACACCTGAAAGGGTTTTTTATTACAAAGAACTATCTATCTGTTGATTTGGGGGCCCCGTTAACGATGTATGAAAATTAATTCACTCATGAAACTTTTCGTAACCTGTGATCTGAGATCGAATTAGATTTTTTTTGTCAATTTATATAATTTTTCAACTGATCTTCTAGTGACATTTTGAAAAATATGCTGCTTGTTTTCAGACAACTTCTGTTCACAACATGCCCAACAATTGGAGACTATATCTCTGGAGTCATCCTCTTCCACGAAACTCTATACCAAAAGGCTGATGATGGTACTCCATTCCCAGAACTCCTGAAACAAAGAGGCATCATTCCCGGAATCAAAGTAGACACCGGTGTGGTTCCTCTTTTTGGCACCAACGATGAGTGTACCACTCAAGGTAATTTTGAAAAACCAACTCAGTTTTTTCGGCTCTCATTATTTAAGTTCAACTAATTCTCGATAAATACTGCTTGTAGGTCTGGATGATTTAGCCAAGCGATGCGCTCAATACAAAAAAGATGGCTGTCACTTCGCCAAGTGGCGTTGTGTGTTGAAAATCAACGAACACACTCCGTCCTTGACTGCTCTGATTGAAAATGCTAACGTATTGGCCCGTTACGCTTCCATCTGCCAAGCCAATCGCATCGTGCCAATTGTTGAACCGGAAATTTTACCCGATGGCGCCCACAACCTTGAGCGCTGCCAGAAAGTTACAGAAACCGTTTTGGCTTTCGTATACAAGGTGAGGCAGTTAACAAACAAATGCAAGCCAAATATTTTCGGAAAAAATCAATGAAACTTCTGTCACCTTTCAGGCTTTGGCTGATCACAATGTCTACTTGGAAGGAACTCTCTTGAAACCAAACATGGTCACCGCTGGACAGTCCTCTCCTGTTAAAGCTTCCCCCGCTGAAGTGGCAATCGCCACCGTGACTGCTTTGCAGCGAACCGTTCCTGCTGCAGTACCCGGAATAACTTTCTTGTCTGGTGGACAGTCTGAGGAGGAAGCTAGCGTCAACCTGGATGCCATGAACAAGTAAGGCTTCAGTTTTATGTGAATTAAAAATGATAGGCTATGTATCTAATCAATCAAATCCCAAACCCAGTTATAGGAAACTAAATATTTCGAAATGAAATCTCGAAATACCACCTGCTAATACCATGCTGTACGTTCAATTATCTCCTCCAGACATTTATGCAAGATACCTCGCATGAATGTCTGGGTTAGTTTAGCACAGTGATTCCCAAAGTGGTCCAGATGGACCCCCCAGGGGTTCGGGAGGGACTTGACGGTGGTCTTCGTTGACGTGATCAAAAAATGGGGGTCCAGAATTCGTAAGCGAGGCTTGCTTTCACCTATCAATGTGACAGATAATATTTTAAGAAGAGGTAATATTTAAAGAAGCTCAATGACTGTCACATGTAGCCACTTGCAAACTCATTATTCTGTACTTGTGTGAGACATGCAAAGGGAATGAAATACAACTTGTGTGTGTGTGTGTGTGCTTGCAATCTTTAATGAACTTGTTTGATTCTTCACCAATATAAATTTTTTTTTTTTCACCACACCGAATGGGGGAGAGTTTTATAAATGAAATAAGTGAGAATTGCTTGGTTTCTTGTGCTGTGAGTAGATGTCAAAAAATAAAGTTGGATGGAATCACTCTTTTGATAGACTAACTTCACTTTTTGACATCCACTCACACTACAACTAATTGACTAACCAATCAAGTCTGACTTTTTTTGAAAAATGGTAGTTCTTGTTTGTAATTTCCATAGTTAGATCTAATCTTCACATTTTTTGTCGAGTTTTGGGAATATGGTAGAAATGTAGCTACATGGGGTCCACCGGAATCAGTAAAATTTTGGTCTATGATAAAAAAAAAGTTTGGGAACCTCTGGTCTAGCAAATGTTTCTCATTCATCCAGCAGGTGGACCATGCTGAAACCAGATTGGTTTCATTTTGGTGTGGTTGAGGAGCATTTTTCTTTAGAAGGATATAGAAGAGTATATCCCAGAAAAACTAAATGACCGAAAAAAGATTTGCCAGTCTTTTAATCTTTCAGTTTGGCCTGTTACTTTCATTTTAATTATTCTTTTAATTTCATTAGTTTTACATTTCTCTATTCATTTTGTTGCATAATTTATTTCTCCAATAATTTTACGAGTTTTTTGCCCTAAAATTAAAATGGTAATGTCAAAATTTATATTTGAAAATTGTAGTTGCTTTGGAGTACGTTTCTCAAACCACCTCTATTCTCTTTCTGAAATCCTTGGGTCTCAAAGATATCTCGTCAGAGATTTCTGTTTTAGTCATCTCCTGATGATGCTACTTTGTTTAAGCGAAACACGCTTCAAGAAAAATGCGCTACTTCTAAATATGTAACATGATTTGATCTAAATATGAATTTTGGAAATGACTCGACTATTTTTTTGTAAAATGACCAAAAAAATATACAGTGTGTCAGCAAAGTATGGAATAAATTCGATATTCCCAAAACCAAAGGTCGTTTTACAAAAACCTGAAACACGTCGATTTTCAATTTTAATATTCTACATTTCACAACAAAATTTCATTATACAGGGTGATCCATATTAATGTGATGACGTCATCGGTAATTTTTTTAAATGCAACACCCTATATTTGATGTCAGTTTTAGATAATCCGTAACTAGCTGATCCCGAAAAGGTATGATANGTGTTTCAGGTTTTTGTAAAACGACCTTTGGTTTTGGAAATATCGAATTTATTTCATACATTGCGGGCACACTGTATAGAAAATAGCATGAAATTGAACTGTAAAGTAATGTTACTACCAATAACTTTTCAAGGGTACCCTCTCAGTTTTCTTTTCTTGTTTCAGATACCAAGGAAAGAGACCTTGGGCTTTAACTTTCAGTTATGGCCGTGCTCTCCAAGCATCTGTACTTCGCGCATGGGCAGGAAAAGATGAAAACGTCAAAGCTGGCCAAGATGAATTGTTGAAACGTGCTAAGGTTTGTCTAAGTGAAATAAACAAAATAATTTTAGAATAACTGGTGTTAATTTCAAACCATCGTTTCATTAATATTTATCTTTCATTTCAGGCTAACAGTGATGCATCCATGGGTAAATACGTTGCCGGTAGTGTAGAAGGAAAAGCTGGAGATACCGGTCTGTTTGTACAGAACCACGCTTATTAGAAACCTACCCTATATAACTTAAGGGTCTCGTGCAAATTTGTTGGTGTTTGTTAAGTCGGAAAATCACTCAGGAAATCGAAGAAACAATATTTATTTTATGGTTTTCACAGAAATTTTATTGAATGCAGAAAATATATTACTGTATATCTACCTTTTTGTTACTTCATATATATCTCTAGAATGTTTGGCTTGTATATCAAGTTGTTGTGGATGTTAGAACTGAAAATTTACAATAAATGTAAAGACATTGTTTTTGTTTTTTTGAATCAACTGCAGATTAGAAAATATGACCGTGAGACCGAGACCGAATACAGCATAAACTTTTGTGCATTTTCTAAATCGAATAAATAGATTATAACATTTGGTGGGCAAAAATACTGGTTGTCTCAAAAGTTTTGTCGTATGTTATTGTAGAGGATCCACTTTTTATCACACGTTTAATTATTCTTTTAATTTCATTAGTTTTACATTTTTCTATTCATTTTGTTGTATAATTTATTCAATAATTTTACGAGTTTTTATTACCCTAAAATTAACACGGTAATTACTAAATTTATAATTGAAAATTGAAGTATCTTTGGAGGTTTCTCAGACTGCCTCTATTCTCTTTCTGAAATCCTTGAGTCTCAAAGATATCCGGTCAGAGATTTCTGTTTTAGTCATCTCCTGATGATGCTACCTTATTTAAGCAAAACACGCTTCGAGGAAAATGCACTACTTCTAAATATGTAACATAATTTGATCTATATGTGAATGACTTACCCAAAGCCTTGAATCTCGGTAGTGTATACCAGTTCGCAGATGACACATCAGTCATTATTACTGGAACAAATGCATTAGAACTCTCAACCAAAGCTTCAGCCATGTCAAATAGTATAGTCAAATGGTCAGAGGCAAATATGCTTAAATTAAATATTACCAAAACAGGACTAGTAATTTTTAACAAATCAATAAACTGCGAGGAATCTCTATATGTAAAACTCCAAAATAGGTCTATTCCAATATCGGATCACACTAAATTCTTAGGTGTCACGATGGATGCAACCCTCAGTTGGCAAACCCATATAAATTTATTGAATAACAGATTAAGCTCTATTTGTGGTGTGATACGATACTTAAGGGATCAAGTCTCTGTTTGTAGCCTGAGAACATATTACTATGCACATGTGCAGTCATTGATTTCATATGGTATTATATTTTGGGGTTCTTCAGTATACTCACAAAAAATATTTATTACTCAAAAAAGAATCCTGAGATGTATCCTAAATCTAGATCAAAGAAGCTCTTGTAAAGAGTTCTTCTGTAAACTTGATATTTTGACAGTGCCCTCGTTGTACTTCTTGGGTCTTGTCTGTTTCGTAAAAAAATATCCATACCTGTTTCCCAGAAATAGTGGTCAATATTCGAATAATATGCATATTAACACCAGACAATGTAACGAACTAGCTATTCCCAGCCATAACTCAACATATTATGAGAAAGGAGCTTACTATCAGGCAATAAAAGCATATAGTTCTCTACCGAAGGAACTTAAAAATATCACAGTCTTCAAGAAGTTTAGAAGTTCAGTCATTTCTTACTTGAGACATAAATGCTACTATTCGTTTAACTGCTGGCTAATTTGAAATTTGTTACGAAAATCATTAATAAAAATAGCTATGTAAATATTGTTTATCATGAATATTTTTGAAAAACTCTTTAATTTATATAATTTTCAACTGTAATTTGTCGATGATGATACATTAATATCTGTTAATTTTAAAATTGGTAATTCCAGGGTAAATGAGAATTAACTTCTCGAAAGTTTGACTTTTGCTGTGTCCACTTGTAGATCGTATTGCAATAAAATTATTATTATTATTATATAAACATTTGGCAACACAACAAAAAGTAAAATTCAGAATATGGCCAAATAATGAATGCCATATTGAACCATTATTCAAAGAGTATATCAGTTAGATTTCTCTTCTGAGGAACTGTTAAATCTCCAAAAAGTATAATTCCTACCCTATATTTTGGTTTCATATGTTATTGTTTAGAATTGGATGTGAATAAACCATAACAGACTATCTTTAATTGCAGAATAAAAATATTCGTAAAATTACTTTAATTTTTTTAATCAGCTATATGAGAAATATACAATAAAATTATATGTAAACAATAAATTTGCTTAATATACAGAATGACAGTTCAATATTAACTGCAATATAATAACAATTACATTATTTACAAAATACCTTCTTCACATACTTTTAACATATTTACCTAAAAAGTACTTTTTTTGTAGCAGCGTCTACATCACACTCAACAAACAGTCCATCTGCAATAAATTATTAAAAAATCAATACTGTATTTGTTAATAATACAAGTCAATTACAAAAAGGGATTTCTTCATAGTTTGATGTTTGTATACTTGAAAGTAGTTGTTTTGAATAGATTTATTTTACCCAAATTGAATCTAAAGGAAACTTATGTGCCTAACTAAACTTTTTTGTAATGATGGCGACAACAAAATCCTGGCAGTTGATCAAAACGAACTTGTATTTTTGTCTGCTAATTCGACAGACATCTTCAGTGTTATATGAATTGACTATGAGCACGAAGGTAGTATCTCAAAGACTCAGCAACGACTGACTGAGGAAGTCCATGTTCACTAATATTTACACCAGTATGGAGTGGGGTGCACATGAGAATGCTTACTCCTGATTGGTCTGCACTTATGCTGAGTTGTTCTTATTGATTCATGTTCATGATAGTTGTGCTGGTGGTTGGATGTCGATTGGAGTGGTATCCAGGTCAATTTTTGGCCTTCTTGAGTACTGGATACCACTTTATGTTGACTCCTGTACCTTCTTCATTTCTGATGAGATCGTTGGGATGCTTATAGAAACCAAATGTTTCCTGAATTAACACCAATGAACAAGAGGAAGTTTGTAAGGTTACAAAATAATTTCCTTAACTATGGCTCAAAGTTTCCAGGGAACAACTGTACCAAAAATCAGTCATTTCTAGGTAAAAAGTAAGATTTTGTGGGCTAAAACATGTGAAAGTACAGACAATAACAGAATAGGATGATTCAAAATAACAAAATTGTAAACAAAATATCACATTTTCACAATAAATGCTGAAAATGTTGTCCATTACATTCTAAACACTTTAAAATGTTTTTTTGTACG